CGTGCTTGCCGCCGTGGCGCGGGAGCGAGGGCGGCGGCTCCGCAGTGAAGAGGTCACGAGTTCGAGCCCCACTGCGCGGAGAGCCACCAGGCACCTCCCTGTACCGAACTCGGTGGGCAATTGGGGTTCACCTCCTCTGCCTCTGGGGGGCCGGAGGGCTGCAGAAGGCATTCCCTGGGCCCTCAAGCAACACTGAAAAGACCTTTGCCAGGGCAGCTTGAATTTGACTGGAGTAATGTGCTTTAAAGATGCATTATCATTTACTCAGTAGGAGCATCCTAAGCAGGCAGTTCCTCGACATCCACTGCTCATAAACTTCCCCCCCCCATACATTTGTCCAGTGTTACAGCTGTAATGCGATGCTGATAATACTGTATAAATTTCATGACGTATGTATATCTGAAAAGGGAGCAGAGAGAAGTTTTGCAACAGAGCTCTCCCTCCCAAGGGTAAAAAGTTCTTAAAACTGCCTCCCCATTCCTTCTCAGGATCTAGAAGTCCCTCAGGGAAACATGTTACTTACGTGTACCTTGCCCTTGACAAAGGTGGTGATACCTTCTTCATTATCAAAGATGGAGAGAGTCTGCAGTAAGTTGTTCTCCAGCCATTCCCAACGCTTTGTGATCTCTTTACATCAGGCAAGTGAAAAATCTTCCTGTGCAGCCCCGTGGGACCCACTGAAGCTGCCATTAACTGAGACAGATTATTTAAATGCTCCCTCCCATTTTACATGAAGCAATTTGTGGGAGGTGTCCCTGCCCATGGCAGGAGGGTTGGAACTAGATGATCTTTAAGGTCCCTTCCAACCCAAACCATTCCATGATGCCATGATTCTATGATTTATTTGCAGGGAGTTCCCACTGTGGCTTTGCAGGGGGCTGCATCCCTTGGCCCCCACACTGCAGGGACATGTCCGTCTCTCCTGCCCAGGCTGGCGATGCTTTCACCTCCCCTTGGGGCAAACGGGAATTCATTTCCCCTTTTTGCTGCGAAGCACATGCCCTGCCTGGCACCACCAGCAGCTCAGCCTCAGCCAGCCAGCCTGCACCCCACTGGGACGGGGTCCCAGCATCCCCCTCCTGGCAGCCAGCTCCATTTTGGCCCTTGTTTCACAGCTCTGGAGCCCAGGTGGGGTTTGTGATCAAGTCCAATGATGGTCTTCGCAGCAAACAGGAGAGCGGGAGATGTGGTTCCTCCTCAGCTCTTGGCCGCGGAGCAGGTTCCCAGTGATTTAGTGAATCACTATTCTTGTTTTAATAACCATTAGAGAGCCCTCCTGCAAACTCTAGACGTGTTACAACAGCAGAAAATATTGACATCTACCCTCTCTGTGCTTATTGCCCGGCTCCCAGGAAGGCGGGAATGCCATGTTTTCATTAGGCTGTAAATCCCTTAACCCTGGGATGATCTATCTTCTGTGTTAGTGCAGTGCCCTGATCCCAGCTGGAGCCTTTGTACACTACCGTAACATAAATATTTATTAGCTGGCTGAGCTTGCAAGGCTCTGCCTTCATCCTGATGCCATGGCTGTGTTTGGGAACAGCACACTGGTTTCTCAAGGCTGGATGTGCTGTGGGAAGGGTTCGAGCACTGGGAGAAGATGCTGAAGGATCCCTCTCTGTGTTACTATCTCTGCTCCTGCTCGCTATGTGCCATCTTTCAGGTGGCAAATGCTGCGGGAAGGTGGATTAGTGTCTTATGTAAATTCATAAGCCACTTTGAACCACGCTGCCTTTAATGGACTGAGATTTCTAGGCATTAGTATAGCAAAATAAAACAATATTTACCGCAGAGTGGGAAAAATCTGCTCTGAAAATGTATCTTTTGACAATGTTGTTCCACACTGTCCTCATATATATATATATATAAAGGAAATACTGGAGGGACTGGAGTCACTGGGCGATGCTCTCATCCTCCTGTATTTTCAGAGACACAAAGCTCACAAACTCCACATTTTTAAATTGCTTTTTATTGAAATGTAGTACATTAGCAAACCCTAACTAATCGGTATACACTATTAACATATTGGCATATACCACGTAACTACAATACAGTGTTATACTTACATCAAAACATGTCAAGAAGTTCTGCTGCTGTCAAGCTACAATTTCACAAGGGCTGGAAAGATCTGATTGTCGGGAGGGCACCGCACCGCCCGTCCCCGCAGCGTCCCCGTCGCTTGGCCAGACCCCTGGGACCTGCTGGCGTTTTTAGGTTGCACGGTCGCACCGGTGCGGTCCACCTTGCAGCAAGTCAGTTGAAGCAGACTTTTCATTTTACACACACGCAAATTGGTTGATTGGTTTCGGGGTTTTTTTTTGTTGTTGTTGTTTGCTGCAGTCTCCCAAGGCCAAAAAGGCTGGGGTGTGCCCTCTCTGCTGGGATAAAAAGATCCCGTTTCGGTGGATTCTGTGCATAGTTAGCCGTGGCCTGGAGCAGGTGATCCCGAATAGGCACGGTCATACAGAGAAGCTTTTAGTATTTAACGCCTACTTGCAAACGGCAGCAGGGCTGGCTCGATAGGCAGAAGAGCGATGCGATCACTCTGTTTGCTCGGAGAGGTTATTCCCCTTTAGAGGACTAGTGCGACAGATCTTACCAGCACCGGGAGTTAAGTCTAGACATATGGGGTGGAAAAAGTCTACCTGCTGATCTGGTAGCAACTGAGAAGGCTTCTTTTCCATGTAGCACCTTCCAGCGCAAACACAAAGCGAGCCCCGTCAGGCGACAGCCTGGGACGCTGCCTCGCTGCCTGCGATGCAGGAACCGCACCAGCCTGAGAACGGGAGCTTCGCTTTAAACGCCCTATTAAACTTCCCTGGCCTGAGAGGAGCAAAGAGCATCAATTTTATTTTCAAGCCCAGACTTTCCTGTGCTGGAACGTGGGAGGGCTGCTGAGCTGTTTTCTGTAAGATCCCCCCTAACGCAGCCCAGGTATGTGAGAGAGCTGCGGGCAGATACAGCCTTTACTGCCTGAGACAGCCAGAGGGTGTCACAGACACGGGCACGGTAGATCAAGAGTAAATCTAAAGATCAGGTGCTGTTACCAGAACCCAGCAGAGCCGCTCTGTTGGGATTTAATGGCTCTCGTACCCTCGACCGAGTCAGAGCCAAGCAAAGGCGAAGCCCGGAGCACATGGGAAGCAGAAAAAAAAAAAAAAAAAAAAAAAAAAAAAAAAGGCAAATGGTGCAGCAAATGCACACAGCTGAGCTCAGGGCAGAGATTAAAAACCTTCTTGCCCCTGAGGGTCTCTGGCACAGCGAGCTGCAGGTGGATGCAAGCG